ATGTTGTCTGTTTTAACTCCAAGTAACCCACCAATTGAAAATCATTGTTTGCACGACGCCACCCGAATTGCTCCGATTTCCCATTCAACGCTCACCTCCGCCTGAGTTTCAATCATCATTGACAGCTGTTTTTGATTTATTTTATGGTGTTTTAGCAATTTAAAGTGTTCTAGTTATTCAATTTTAAACTCAAAATGCCACGATGTATCTTAAGAAATTGTATATACTTATAATACAAGTACCAGTGTTATGAAATATAAAAAATATATTCGTTTTCAGCGGTAAATATTTATTGACATAAAGCGCCATAATCCTTTGAGCTGAATACATCAGATCCGCATTAAGGGATTTCAATAAATATTCATCAAATACATTTCAGAAAACAGATTTCGTATTACTTACATAAATTTACAAAAGGGTAAAATTTTAAATATTTAATTTAAATAAGAAGTAAATAGACATTGTTGCTAACGAAATTTTGTTTTTAAAAAGTAGTTTTATAAGAATATTTACTAAAGGTGGTTTTTAGCTCTTTTTGGTAGATAAATAAGAAGTAAAGAAGCATAGTTGATTAGTAGTATTTTTATAAGAATATTAGATAAAATACAGGATGAATAACTTAAAATTTCAAGATAATGTAATAATCGATTTTAAAGGAAATACAAAAAGAAAGTAGATTTATTCAAAATAATCGATTAATTGAAAATAATCGATTTTTTTGAAAAATCGATTTATCGTTTAATCGGTCTTTTAATTAATCGATTCTTTTCGATTAATCGATTATTTTCTATTAATCGATTATTTTAGATTAATCGATTATTTTCGATTAATCGGTTATTTTCAAATTTTCAAAGGTATAATATGAAAATGATTGATTGATCGAATATAATTCGTTGTTTTATATAACCAATATTTCGGTTATTTTTTAGAAATATCGATTTATCGGTTAATCAGTTTTTTAATATTTATTAATTATTTTTGATTTATTGATTTTTATCGATTATTTTAGATTTTTCGAAGATAATAGAATAATCAATTTTAAAGGAAATATGAAAAGGATTATTAGAAAATAATCGATAATTCGGTTATTTTTTTGGAAAATAGATTCATCGTAGAATCGGCTTCTTAATTAATCGATTATTTTCGGTATTTCAATGATAATCGAATTATCGATTTTAAATGAAATACAATAAAAATAAATTATTGATAATAATCGATTGTTCGAAAATAATCGATTATTTAAAATAATCGACAATTCGGTTTTATTTTGAAAATCGATTTATCAGTTAATCGACTTTTTAATTAATCGATTATTTTCGATTTTTCAAGATTATCAAATAATCTGTTTCAATGGACGAAAAAAAATGGATTATTTGAAAATTTTAAAGGAAATACGAAAAACAAATAGATTGAAAACAATGGATTGATCGAAAATAATCGATTATTTTCAATGATCGATTATGTATTTCGACAATCACTCATCCTCTATATTAATTAATATTCCTAAAGAAAGAAGCTGAGGTTACAATACAAAACACCATTTTCTCATTTTGACTAATTTTTAATATTATGTAATAGCCGTAGAAAAAATATAATGTTTGACTCAAAAGGTTTGATTTGCAGTATTCGGCTGCGCACATGCTTTTTTATAATACTCGTAGACAATGAGTACCATTTCTTGCTCTATTAACAATATTCTATTTCAACATTTTACTGTAGTATCTTGCTGAAAAGTCCGTAGTAAATAAACGCTAATGAAATATTCTATAAAAGGTCTTCTTTTTACATAAAATGCTGTGCATCTGTTTGATATTAAAAAATCACGTTAATTTTATTTCATAATACAAAATTCCATTAAACATATATTTTAAATAAATAAAGTCCGGCCCTTGTCACAGATTTCGGGTTTCTGCCCAGTTCCCCCACTCCGTTAACCGGTGTATGTTATATCTCTGGTCTCTTTTATCTAAGGACAAAACCAAAAGAAAAATTAAAATTTTGTCCCATTTATAAATAAGGATAGCGCCCCGCTTGTGACGAATAATCCATCGCATGTGTTCATCTCTTGCTAAGCGATATTGTCGTTGTCCTTGTTTTTCGCATCATAATGAGAGAGAAAACAACAGAGGCACACATTTACTGTGCCCTGTGCCCACCTAATTTTGGAATTCTCGGAACGTCGCTCAACTCCCGGTCGTCCAGTCGTGCCAACGCGGTTTGCGCTGAATATTAGATAAAATAATAATAGGCATTGAGGAAAATATAAAATATGTAAGTTATTTTTTTTTTGTTTATTATACTAGGGCACGTGCCCAAGTGCCCTTATGGACAAACCGCCACTGGCAAGTACACTAGCAACAATCCCGAACTATAAATGCTGTAATGCTATCGGGGCCTGTCGTAAGTTTTGGTTTGATTTGTTTTATAAGATCAGGTTTTTTTAGTGAAATTTAAAAAAAAAAGGTCCTCAGCTCATAATTTTATAAACCAGGTCCTTCTGCCGACGAGCTACTAAAAAAAAAAACAAACGCCTCAGCTCATAATTTTATAAAACAGGTCCTTCTAACGAGGTTCTAAAAAAAGGTCTTTTCAAAAATTTCTAAAGTTATCCAGATATTTCCGGAAATTTTCATCATGAGACTGGACACCAAACAAATTGTTAAAAACTCGGACAGTCCAGGTGAAAACCGTACAGATGGCATCCCTAACTATAAAAACAAAGTATTAAGAAGTCGAACACTGGAGCCCCATAATACACCTGTAATTGACAAAAAGTGTCAAACACTGGAAAAATATATGCATATGTATACAGTTATCGATACCCCTAAAATTTAGGTTATAATCCAAGTAAGCAATGACATTTTACCAAAAACATGTGTTTTACAATGTAAAGTTACTTTACACAAAATTTTATTCATATATCTTAACTATTTAAAAAGCAACAACCTACTTTATAATGTACTTATCTTAACACATGCCCTTATTAGGAGAGTTAAAATTTTAAATTGTCGATTACTGTTGCTCTTACCTTAGTTCTTGAGTAAGTGTATAAACCATTTTTGAGACTTCTAGGTTGTGAATATGAAGACTAAAGAGAAGGAGGCGAATCGACAATGAACAAATTTCAAATTTCCGTCTTTCTTTTTATAAAATTTGCCAAAGTGACTGTAGTTGACGGGTCGAACGTTAGTGACGTTAATTTTCTATGTAAGTCGATGTGAAGTGTTTTTTGTTTTAAATTTGTGAAAATAATCAAAATAATGTGAAAAAAGGACCTGACTACAAGTAACATGAGTGACAAAAATTATCAAAGCAAGATTTACTTTGTTCCAGGTTATAAAACGGGATATAAATCAGATGTAAAACTAAAGAAAACACAAGAAAAAATTAATTTAAAGTCTTTTTAAATCTTCTAGTGTAAGTAAAATAATTAATTTTTAAATAAATATAATATTTATTGTAAACTAGTCAAAACCTGTATTTTACAGAGTGTAGTTTATTTTATTACAAATTTCTATAATATAAAATTGTAAAAACAATACTTTTACACATTACATTTAACTTACTAGAAAATAAAATTTGTTTTTTTTTTTAGAGTTTGAATGTTAGATAAAAGTTACTATTATTTTTTTGTTGAACCCCAATTTTGTCATTGTAAATGTTTTTTATGGGAACCTAATCATTTAGGACAGTGGCAGCATATTATTCTTAGGGGGGATAAAGCACTTTTTAGAAGATATTTCCTAATATTATTTTTACAGATGGTGTACTGTTAGCAAAATAAAAAGTGGCAGGCCAAAATTGAAGGATGAGGCAATACCATGTATATTCCCGAATCTCCCTTTATACTTGTATTATTACAATAAAAAAATCTTTTAACTGTATTTTATTTGGCTATTAAAACTATATTTAAGTATAATTAAAAAAAAAAAAAAAATAGCCACAAAATTGTACTTACCAAATTTCACCATTTAACAAAGGTAATTTAAGAGGTAATTTGCATTTTATATAGATAAAATTAAATAATTTATCATTGAAAACATACAAGACTTATTTAGAAATAAATACAACAATATTTACTGTGATTTATTTTGCAATAAACAAGTTTATTTTAATTATTTTTACACAATTATGTAAAATTCCCATAAAAAGCCATGTATTTTTAACATCCCTAGCAACACCAGCACCTTTGCGGCGAATTATAAAAGCTTAATTAGCATACGTTTTTTGCCGATTCCCCTCCTTCTCTCTAGTCATCATCTTTATAGTTGTTGGTGCCCCAGTTCCCAGTTGCAGAATCTACTCAGTTTGTGCCATACACTGCCGAAAGCTTTATTTATTTCGAGAAAGAGTGTAGCTGACACTAACAGTAGATTTTATTTGTTGAACTAGTGTTCCACTCAACACTCTATTCGAACTGTCATACTTGTCAAAAGTATATGCTATATGTGTGCTACTGTCAAATATTTGAAGTTACATTGAACAAGAACAAATCAAATGCGATTAGTGCAGAAAACTTACACCTAGTGCAACAAATAAAATAGGTACACTATAAGTTTAGTTTTGCTGTCTTGTCATTAGATGTTTAAAATAAAAATATTTCACAAAAAGACTCAAATCAAGTCTTAAGTAGCTGCTAAGTCATACAAAAAGTATACTATCCTATTATTTATTGTCAAGCAATTCATCATTTCTATTAATTTTCTTTGCCCTAATAATATTTTACAAATATGATGTTATTTGTACACACTCATCAGCACCCCTATGTACTCCCTTTCTCGTAAAGTTGTTAATAATAATAATTGAAAAAAAAGGCAATTTTTATTTAAAAAAATTGTGTAGTTATTATTTATTTACACAAGATATGGAACTTAGGTTTTTGGTTTACAATAGCGACACCTACAAAAGTATGTATGCTTAGTTATTTCATAATCCAAGAGGTTAAATTAGATATTTACCTAAAATTGTTGGTAAAATTATCTCTCAACATAAGTACTCACTTGTTAATTTTTTTGCAGTCTCTATTTTATTACAGATCTTGGAAAGGAAGGTGCCCAGCATATTTGCAAATTCATCTTTGTAAGCAAGTGACCGTCTTGTAATAGCGGCTTTGCATAAAGGACATTCATTACTTTTATGTTTTTGTTTAGTATAACAATCATTGCAAAGTCTGTGGTTACACTCTAAATCTGCAGTTTCTTCTATAATATCAAGGCTAAAAAATTTAAATGTTTATTTGCTTAAAGGTGTTTTTATTAAATAAATCTTTTATTTACCAAATTGGACATTTTAATTGTTCTTTTAATTTGATAATTTCCTTGCAGAATGTCAATAACTGTTCTTCATTCATTATTTATATTATAAGATCAATGTAAAATAAAAGAAAATATCCAGAATCTTGTATAAACAAGTTCACCTGTTCGCGGCAAAATATTGACTTTGACGTTTAAATTCTTCTCTTTTTAACTTGACTTGTAGATTGAACTACGTAATTAGCCGTCCATACTTGGACTGGCTTGATTCCAATTGATTGAAATCGTTCAAATTTGACATAATGTCAACTTGACAACATTGTTAAGATCAGCTGGAGTGCGTTTAGAAACCTCGCACGGCGCGTCTTAACCCTATTCGAATGTATGTGGTTAGACGCGCCGTGCGAGGTTTCTAAACGCACTCCTGATGTTCTGTGCAGCTGATTCAATCCCAGACAAAGTTTAATTAAAAGTTTTGTATGGTTTTGGATGTTTATTTTGGACCAGAAACTGGTATCACATTTTTATCTAAGATATTATTAGTATATTAGGAAAATAATTTAGTGCATGACTACTCAAGTAGGACGTGACACCCAGTGTCTATAGAATATAGATTATCAGTAGGGGACGTGCCCAGAAAAATGGGGCTCCAAAAATAGGTGGGCTAATTTTTTGGGACACCTTCCTTTTTTTTTAATTCATTTTACTAAATCGATTTTATTCACATCATTTAATTATTTGATTAGGTAGGCAATCCTTTTTTGTTTTAAGTTATATGAATGTCTATTAGGCTCTGATTACAATAAGAAGAATATAGCTAATTAATTGGCTATCGCCGCCTACTGGGGGTTTAGTGAAGTGTTAATATTATAGGAATATAGGAAATATGTTTATACCTAATAACTTTTTCTTTATTTATTAATAGTTATCGATACTATACAAGTATATTTGAAATTCATAGTACTGGTTATGACTTACTGACTTAGTGGTATTCTTCTTAATGTAATTGGATTCTACTTTGAGAAAGTAATTATTTCCTAATTAGAATATTATAGAAACTGCCAGTCATGTCCAAATAGGATATTATTGTGAACATTGCGTTGTATCATTGAAGTTAACTTTTGGCTTCCTCTGAAGTAATTTTACTTGAAGTTGATGGAAGAGGTCATGATGACTATGGTGATAATTTTTGAGTTTCAATACCATGATGGTCTTTTCAAAACACCTTGTCACCTCCTATCTGGGTTACTAGTTGTTAAATAACCATCTTTTACATCCATTTTCAAACTCAATTAGTCAAATTATATTTTAGGTAAATCTCAGATCCATGGAGTATGTTTGCGAATATTGTAGCAAAAGGTTTTCTAAAAGTTTCAACCTAAAACGACACATTTCTGCTATGCATTCCAGCCCATCGATCAAGTCAGGAAAAACAGACAGATTTATATGTCAATTCTGTTCTAGAAGTTACCTATATAAAAGGTCTTTGTTTGCCCATTTAAAAATATGCCAATCAATTGATAGGAAACCACAACTTTTCTACTACAGCTGTTGTTTGTGCAAGGCGATTGATATTCAACATATTTTAGAACATTATAGTGTTGAACATAATTTAGATTTATCTGTATTAAAACTTGCTTTTGATACCCAGCAGGAATTTAATAGTTGGAAGGATGATATAGAGAAGAGCACTATATCTAAGTATATCCAGAATTGTAAAAGGGAATATACCTACAAAGTAATGTATTACTATCGATGTCACAGGAATGGATATCACAAAAGCAAGAGTAAAAATATCAGGAACATAAAGCGTTTAGGTAGTAGCAAAATAAACGGCTATTGCCCGTCAAAAATCACCGCCACTATTTGCAACAAAACCGGCAGAGTGACGGTAGATTATATACCGACCCACGTTGGACATACCATGGACTTGAGACGAATTCCTCTGAAAAAAGCAGAACGAGATATTCTAGCCGCAAAAATAAGCCAAAAAATACCGTTTGATACAATACTTCAAGATATTAGGAGGGATAATGTTGCCGAAAATAACTGTAACCGTCTCCATCTGTTGACCAGACAAGATTTGGTGAATATTGAAAAGTCTTTTAACCTCAATAACGAATCGGTAAGACATAGTAAGACAGAAATTAGGAAAAGTAAATCTACAAGTATCGAGAATAATTCTAGTAGTTATGAATCCGCTTTGAACCACAACATTGTTGAAGTTGTGGATCGAGAAGTGGAACAAGAAGAAGAACATGAAGAAGGGGAACATGTAGAAGGGGAACATAAAGAACAAGTTGAGGAACATGAAGAAGAGGAACAAGCAGACTCTTGTATTTTGGAACTATGGACTCAAGAAGCATGTGAAAGTGATACTATTGCTGCACCTGACATTATTAATAGTGTTAAGAAGAGATTAATAAATCAATTTCATAATGTCATAAGTATGGCTGCAACTTTAGAGCAGTGTGCGTTAATAGAAAGTGTTTTGTTCCCTCTTGAGTCTGAAATTGCCGATATGGTTTCCACTACAACAAATTTAAATGCTACTAAAGAGGTATAAAGACTGCCAATTTATTAGAAAATATCACTTAACAAAACGATTTTTATTAACATTTCTCTAATCAAGTGTAGAAATCCAAAAAATAAACAATATATTAAGAACATACAGAGTGTTTTTATTTTCATAATTATTTTTAACATTCCTATTAGTCCATACAAGATAGAAATTTCTTTTAAATACGGACCTGTTTCGTTTCTGATTTATGTAAGTACTAAAATGTTTTTTACAAATGGGAAAAGTTTTATCTTACATTTCACAAAAAAAATTATTCTTTATAAAAAGTTCTGTATCACTTATTAGGAATCTATACTTAGGGTGAGATTACAGAACGTCTGCAACTTTGCAGATCTGCAAATATGGCGGACTTACAAATGCAAGTATTCCAAAAAATATCTGCAAATTCGCAATATTTATTGTGGTTTATTACCCCCAACAACACTAAACCCAAATTTGGAATATGAAAACTTGATACCTGCATGTGTAAGTCAGTCATATTTGCAGATTTCCAAAGTTGCAGCCATATTTGCAGATCTGCAAAGTTGCAGTCGTTCTGTAATCTCACCCTAATCAATTATTACATTTTCTAAAATTTAGGCGATATACAGAGAAAATATAAATAATGATTTCAATTAAGAGCAAAATATTAATTAAAAAATATAGGTACTCAAGTTTAAATATTTTCACCAATTTTTATAAGTGATTACGATTTACTTTATTCAATAAATAATCCAAAACCAAATGCTAATAAGTGCGGGTACTGAAAATTTTTGAATTTTATAAATGATTGATTTCCAAGTAATGATAATATTTTATTAGGAATTTTTTTCTAAAATGCTTTGTAAAATGTAATTTCCCATTTGAATAAAACTTTTTGGGACTCACTGTATATAAAAGCGCTCGAGTTAAAAAATTAGTTTCTATTAAATTTCCTTGTTGTGGTTAATTTTTTGACAATTTGGCAATGTGGCTTATTTTGACATGAAGCTCGCACTAACCCGACGGCTAGAGTTTTAACATAATTTTTATGTAATCAAAAACCATTGAATATTTATAATTCACATTATTTGTTGTTTATTTGATAGAATGTTTATTAAAGATAATATTCAAAAGACAACAATTACATTCTTGGCTGTTTCCTCCAACAGAGCAAGTATCCTTGATATCGAAGAGCACGTGACAATTAACGTCACTTTGACGTTGACAAATATTGACTTGACCTTTCTGCCCTTTAAAAATTAGCCGGTGGAGATTGGAGTTATCTAGTTGGGATTCCGTCACTTATTTTTCACATACGGAATCGCGTAATCCTTCAATTTTACGAAATATTCATTATCTCACACATATTTTTCTTCTATTTATAGAAACAAAATCGTTGTTAGTGATAGATCGTCGATGAAATTGTAGTACAAAAATGTCTTTAAAACAAAGTATTACAATTTTACAAAGCAAAAATGGGATCAGCTGTGTTGCCCAAAGAGCCAGGTAAATATTTAAATAAAAATGAATACTCTAAATTCACGTTTATTATTAATTTAATAGTTCTTGGTGGTCTGGAGTGCAAATGGGTCCTCCTGACGCAATCTTGGGAGTAACGGAGGCTTTTAAAAAGGACACAAACCCCAACAAAATTAATCTAGGTGTAGGTGCATACCGTGACGATAACGGTAAACCCTATGTGCTTCCATCTGTGCGTGCAGCTGAAGAAAAAATAAGAAGTAAAGGTTTGGATAAAGAATATGCCCCCATTTCTGGTGTAGCTGAATTTTGCAAAAGAAGTATAGAACTGGCTATGGGAGAAAATTCTCCCGTTCTGAAGGAAGGTTTGAATGCCACAATTCAAGGTATTTCAGGGACGGGTTCCTTGAGAATAGGAGGGGCATTTTTAAATGGATTTTTTCCTGGTAATAAAACAGTATACCTACCAAGTCCTTCCTGGGGTAATCACGTCCCTATTTTTAAACACTCTGGATTAGATGTACAAACCTATAAATATTATGACCCAAGCACCTGTGGCTTAGACTTCAAAGGTGCCATTGCTGATATTTCTGTAAGTAATCTAAAATAAATAATGAAATTAAAACAATGTTATCTTTAAAGATGGATTATTATATAATTTTGTTTTTAAAATTTTCTATTTTACCTAATTTTGATGGTTTAATAATATTCCTTTATTAATAGTTAAATAACATATTTAAAAATGGAACAGCAGTCTTATTTACTAACTAAACTATCAAAATAAAATTTATAAAAATCTTAAAATTTTAAATAAAAATATTAAAAAAGATAGCTTGGAGATAAAAGTACCATTTCAGAATATTTTTTTTATTTCTTAGACATACCCAGTGTTTTTTTATTTATTCAGCATTGTCAGTTTAAAAAATGAGTAGAAAACAGTTATACCTATTTTTTTAAAACAAAATATAATTATCTCTATCAATTATACAAAAAACTAAAGCACATCACTTTCAGTTTTGTAGTTTTTTAAAACTGTCAGAAAGGCCACCTACTGAAAAGTATACCTTAATTAATACTCATTACTTCTACTACCAGTCACACTCAGCTCATTCACCTCATATTTATTGCTATATTGTACTTAAATTTGGGGAAAACCCTACTGTAAAAGAGAAATACCCTATCTCACTGAGACCCTAAATGAATGAAGAGTAAAAACATATTTACAACTATTTAACTTTGTGTTATCTGTGAATCGTTTTTCAGAATGTACACTAATACAAAGTAGGTTGAAAAAAATTTAAAATGCAGAATATATACATTTCTATCATTTTAAAGAAACAATGTAAAATCAGTAGATTAGTGGGATAAATCAGTATATCAATAGATGATGTATGAAATCAGTAGATTTACTGAAAAATTAGTAGATCTGGTAACATTTCTTATGCCTAACTAACCTTTAAAGATCGATTATTATATAATTAACATGACTATTTAAGTCAGGAAGGAGAAATGCCAAAATGTAAATATGGCGGACAACAGTTTCATTTCTCCAGTGACGTACTGTCATAATAGGGTAGAAAAGAGTATATTCAGGAATCCTGAAAATTGTTTACTTGTGACTACTTTATAAGTTACAAAAAACTTAACAACTATTAATTTTATCAACTGCATCTCTTAACATTACATAGAAGTTTTGTTTAAATAGAAGTATGATCATTAAGTATATAAACCATATATGACCTTACACCTATGAGTGCAGTTGATTACTGACATACTTACAATATTTGTTTACAAATTGAAAATAATAAAATATATCGAAAATTTTTAATGTGTTTGAAAATTGAGAAAACAAAATATTTCTGAAATTTCATTATTATTTTTAGCTGTCTTGTTATATCCACAAGAAAACTTACGTTTGACACTAAGTATCTATCTACTCCTACTATATCACTAAATACTGCTTAAAACTCTCTACAATAAGTAAGATTAAAAAAAAATTAAAATGGAAAACATCCGAATAATTAACCAATTTTAAACACCATTTAAACATAGCCCACGTGACATATTCCTTCCCGATTATGAGTATATTCCAACAACGAGAAACTACCAGACTAATTTTGTTTTTAAAAATCGAATTGCACACATTCACCGTTTTGAGAGCGCATGGGATAGTCTTGTTACAAGGATTTTTTATGGTTATAATTCGATATTGCTAAACATTAAGCTCTAAAATGCACAAAAGGCTTTCAAAATTACATTAGGGAAGTATATTTGCATTCTTATTGCCAGTTATTATAATTTTAATATATTTTTGCTCATTGTAACTATTACAGTTGTATATTGTTTTTCAGGAAAGTGTAACAGAAGTGTAGACGTAAATACTGATTCATAAAATGCATTCAGATAAACATACTCAAACAAACCCATCTCCACTCAAATTAGCAACTTAGTTTAACAATAATCAACAAATTACAATGTTACAGTTAGGTATAATATAATAATTTATTTATTACAATTTTTCGATATTATTATTTTGATTTGATGCACCTAGATGCAAGCATCTGCATATGCAGAACAATTAAATAATTAATTAATACATAATTTTACGCAAAGGTATAACATTGATATTGATATTGAAGAAACATTTTTACATTAATTTTGACACATTTTTATAATTACTACTGCCTCCGCTCTTCTTATAAAGCAGTCGATATGACAGCTCTGTCTGCTTAATAATAAACAATCTATGGGGGTTATGATTGACAACCTATGTTATTTTTAACAGGTCTGTTATTATACTTCCCAACATTATACTTTCATAGTTTATGTATGTTGCCTTCAAGAATAAATTATTAGTAAATACCCGTAGTATACCTTTAGTTTATCAAACCCGTAGTACTGCTAATGAGTTACTGCCAACCCAAAGATTTCAGAAAAATATATGTCATAGATTTTTCTCTATCATTTAATGATGTTTACTAATTTATTCTACATGTACAAAGATATATAGTGTAAGGAAGTCAAGGTTAGAATCAACTTAATATTTTTGTTGAACTAAAAATATTTTGAAAAAGTTTATTTTGGTAGAAATATAATAATTTTGCAATAATTGTATAACAATGGAACAAAACCTTGAACAAAACAGAAGAGATAAAGAAAATTTGCAAACACAATTAAGATATTTACTCAGCCATTAAGACCACATAACAATAATAATCAATGTTCCTTATTTTGTGAACTGGTTGTTAAATTTGATGGTTTTAAAGTCAATATGTGCAATTTACAATTTCTTTGAATAGTGTTTGATTTACTTATGGAGAGATCAATAAATTACCGGTGAACAATACCCAAGTGTGCAATTACGCTAAAAAATTCAAATTTGTACCCTTTTTTGCACCTTTTGTATTTGTACTCAAAAGTGGTTTTTAACCTACTGAAATTTATCCAAGCTTGATTAGAAGGGTTAACATTTAGCCTCTGCAAGTGTAGACAATTGTAATTCCACAAGAAATTTTTCTCAAAGATGAAACATTCAATGGCGCCGATAAAAAACCAGTCGACAACAATCCTGTATTATCAAAATGTCAGTGGGATGTACAAAAGTTGATACAGTACTTAGAAATACTATCTCTTCTAACTATGATGTTATAATTTTCACTGAAACGTGGCTGTATAGTGATTTTCATAACTCAGAGCTTTTCAATCCAAATTATCAAGTTTTTCGAAAAGATAGAAACTATGTAGAACTAAATGTCTCCAGAGGTGGAGGTGTGCTAATATCTGTTCTTCATTCTTACCACTGCTTAATTATAAACTCTCCAGTTAAGAGTAAGTAATAGGCTCGCTCGAGCTGCAGTGTCTGAACGACCCACATTGTTCGAAAAAGGATGAGCAGATAAATTTACGTGATAATAATGTTGACTTCGCGTCAACAATCTGCTCGAATCGTCAGCTCCAGTCTTAAGCGAACTAGAGAAAATCATAAGTGTGCCAGCTAAAAATTATTGTTCTCCCAGGCCCTCGAATTTAACTGTAGTAACTGAACACGGTGCGCGCGTCGTAGCCGTAGCTACATAATTATATTTGTGAATTTTATGGGGATGTTTTACCGATCACAGAGAGCGCCTATTCCCGTTGCGAGAGATTTTTTATTTTCAGGAAACTTCAAGTATTTTAATATATTTTTTTTATGTTTAAAATATAATTTTGTGAGCTGACCTTCGCAGACTTGATCTTAATCATCGAGCATTTGACTGTGAATTAGATCGGATGACAAAATGTTTAACTGCATTTTTTTAATGTGAAAAGATTAAGATACAAAAATATTATAATTATATTTATAATCTTCAGATATTTAAAAACTTAATTATAGTTTTGATTCAATACTTTTTAAATAAACGAAATAAGATAGAAATGTGCGGTTTCAACCACTTAGTTTCAAATTTCGAAAAGTTTTTTTTTCGAATCACATTAATTTTTTTCCATTTATACAGAACGAAGAAAAAATTTGCCTATTTTCAACTAAAAATAACTTGACTTATTTAAATATGTATTATGTATATTTTTAAACCATTCGAAAGCTGAGTTCTTTTTTGCTTTTAAAAAATGCTAGCATGTGCAGTTTAATTTTCACAAATAAAGAAGATACGCAACTTTTTGTGAGTGCGTGCATTCTCATTAATTTCCATATTGCCAGTAGATATTCAATTTTTTAAAGAACGCATTTTCTGCTTTTTTTTTTATTTTTTTTTTCGTTTGTACACTGAAATAAGTTTAACTTATCGAAATATTTCAGTATATAAATGACCAAAATAAAAATTTTTCCACGCCCTGTATAAATGGGAAAATTTGCTAATGTGATTGGGTAAAAACTTTTCGAAATTTAAAACTCATTGGTCAAAACCGCACATTTTTATCTAATTTATTTTTAGTCAATAATCACGTTTAAAATGTGTCAACTTATAGATGGGCACCTTGTATTTCTAAGATTATATAAATTCCTCCCTTAAAATATTGGGAAGTGGCAGTAAATAATTGAAAAAATATTTTACTAGGAGTGTTTCTTCAACTTTTTTAATTCATCGAGTATCCAAATTCAGATTGTTTAAATTCGTTGGAATAAAAAATATCTTTAGGTATTTATTTTAAATCATGTTTACCAATCTGTTTAAGATTTTTATTCAATATATTGCTACCATAAAGTTATGTATATTATATAAATTTAATTAAATACGGTATAATATAGGAAATACGAATTTCAAAAACCACATAGAAGTTATATGACATCTTTAATTATTTCTTTTAAATAAGCATCGTAATAAAAAAAAATATTTTAGGATACATTTTGTTCCTCCAAAACTCATCATCTCTGCAAATTTCTTCAACATGGATAGGGCCTAAAGGAGACCAGACAATAAAATAACAATATTTCTTGCCTGAAAGATGTAGCTGCCCTTGTATTTGGTAGTAATACGGATGAGTGTTTTTTAAATACAACCCCTCCTCGTCATAGGCAAGAAATTCGTTCGATTGTGACATATCGATTGCAATTTTTTTAAACACTTTAACCTCTGAAATACCCCCTTAACGTAC